TCATACTCATTTTATGTACTTTCTAGTCCTTTTTTTCCAGATATTAATTTACTTTTTAAAAAAATGTCATTGGTCTTCAGCGGTGTGTCTTGGGTTACCTTTCCTCAGCTTCTAAACTTCATGTCTCTGAGGCTGAGACCTCACTGAAGGATGACTTTGTCTAATTATTTGTCCAGAAATTTATTTTTTCCCTTAAATTATGAAATCATGAGTTATGGGCTACCAGTTATCATGACCATAAAAACCGCAGTGGCTTCCAAATTCTTACCTCTTGCCACATCCCTTTTCTGAATGTCATATTCAGATTTTCCAAATGCCATGGATATTTCCAAGGGGGTAAACTCTGGGCAATTTAATGTCAGATTGCACAAAACTGAAATTCTATTATTTTTTCCTCTGAAAACTGCTTTATTTTTTCTATATTGGAATGTTGGATATTTCCACTCACCCAAATACCTCCACTAGAAACATGGGAGCCACTTTGTCTCTTTCCGCTTTTGTCTTCTGCATCCATCCAGTTCACCATCAAGAGCTGTCAGTTCTTTAAATTGCTTTTAATCCCTCTGCCACTGATTCAGACTACATTATCTCAAGCTTAGTCATACAACAACAGTTTAAAATCAATGCCATTTTAGCTATATTTTCTCCTTTGTAAACCATTCTCCAGTGTAGTTAAAGGAGTGGTATTTTAAAACAATTGTATCTAGTCATTTCATTCCCCTTTTTAAAAGTCAATATTCTTATTTTCCTATGTAAGGCTTCTGGAGCCATTCATACTTGAAGGTTTCAATATCATCTTTCATCACAGCCCATGCTTTCCTTCCTGATACCCTCTCCTCTTCGTTACTCTACATTTCGATACTTTATACTGAATTGTTTTAAAAATTTCTTTCTTTATTGAAGTATATAGTCAGTTACAATGTGTCAATTTCTGGTGTACAGCATGATGTCCCACTCATGAATATACATATATATATTCATTTTCATATTCTTTTTCATTAAAGGTTATTACAAGATAGCAAACAATCTTATGGTTACTGTAGGAAAGTGGGTGGGAAGGGATAACTTTGGAAGTTAGAGATTTGCAAATGATAACCACTGTATATAAAAATTAAAAAAAAAACAAATTCAATATCTTTAAAAATTTCTAATATACCAGGGTCTCACTTCTAGGTTCTCTACCAGCTCATCTCTCTGTTTAGCTTATTTTATCATTCAGTGATAAAATATTTTTCCCTCAGGTCTTCCTCGGTGTCCAATCCCACCACCACTTGGATTAGCTAACTTTTTGACATCAGTTAGGTTCTTGTTTTCCTCCACAAAATCGACACACATACACACTCCACAAGCGTTACTTCTTTGACTTTATTTTCTGGGAAAATTCTTCTCCTTCCATTATAAAACCACATTGGTCGCCTAGCAATTTTTTTTTAACATGCCAGATATGTAGCCGCGTCAGTGCTTTTACAGTCATTGGCTGACCTCTCTCGCTGCTGTGATTCTTTTCTTCCAGAACTGACTGACTCTGCCACCTCATTTGAGCCATTCAAGCCGTTAATAATCCCAGTTTTTTCTGCAGGTGCCCAACCCTTGCCCGCCTCTAGCCAAGTCACTTGCATTTACTGATCTCTCTAACATCACTCTTCTCTTCCAGTTTTGTTTGCCTAAGACTTATAATGGTCTTTCTAACATACTACATAATTTAAGTATTTTTTTGTTTATTCTGTATCGTACCCTCTTCTCCTCCATTAGAATGTAAGCTTCCTGAGAATGAATATCTTTGTCCATTTTGTTCACTGATGTATCCTGAGAGCCATAGGTAAATATCTGAACACAGCTCTGAGCATTTTCACAGAGCTAACTCTCGTGTATTAAGTGATTATTTCAAAGTACGTGGAATATTTTGAAACTGATGCATTGTTGTCAATCTTTATATCAATTTATAGCCCAAGCAATAGTGAATGAATCCACTTTTCCATGTCTTCAATAGGAAAAAATATTCCAAACTAACATGTATTATTAGTGGGGAATATCTTATTTCAAAATGTTAAATAATTTTTCATTACTCATAGATTGAACATTTCTTGTATTTTTAATCAGTGAAATTAATTTTTTCTTTCGTGAAACACTTTCATAATCTTTGCATAATTTTCTGTTTGGATGTTGGCATTTTCCTTGTATCTTTGTGATACATTTTTGCGTGTTAATTACATTATCTTTAACTTGAAAATGTTTGATTAAAACTTATTGCCATTTTTCTAATAATTTATCTTCTGCCTTTTTTTGTTTATGGCCTATGCTAGCTTCATAAACACTCATTACCAAGTTTACCAACAAAGTAAAGAGATTTTGTTTTTCTCTTGGCCTTTTCTTTCTATTGTTCTTTTGTACAAGACTTGCTTTTGACTTTGAAGGTTTTATCTTTGCCTGTTATTTCTCAAAGCACTTGGGTATTTCCTTTTGTCATATTTCTTCTGCAGACTAACTTAAATCACCATTCTGAATGAAAAGATTGTTTTCCTCAAGATTCACTTTACAAACAACATCCCTGCGCCCGTAACCTTGAGCAATATAGGTATGATATCATAGTCTATTACCACCTCTCCCCTTGGGCCAAATTCCAGATCTTCTCAATAAAGTAATGAAACAGAGGTTTTCTGTTTCTGCAGAGAATGGTTTAATTGGTTTTGAGAAATGATGATATAATGCAAAGTGTTGTGGTTGACACGGTGCTGATTTATACCATGTGATAAGATTTTGAAATTAGGTTGGATGTCGTGTCCTGATGTGTTTATGAGGGCTCAATTAGGTATGTCTTAAGATGGCATAAATATATCCTGGGAATAGTGTGGAGTGAAATCAACTAGATATATGATCTTGCAAATTTGTTTATTCTTATATTTTAAAATTAGCAAATATTTACTCCTCTGTATGCAAAACTAAAAATACATGTAAAGTACTAGAAATATTGAGAAACAAACCGTAGTCCTTCTGTACATGAGCATACGGTGTTATGAAGAGGACAGAGAAATAAACAGTCAATTACGCATCAGCAAAATAAATGCTAAAATAAAGCAGGAGGGTGCTGTGGAGACACATAAGGAAGGGTTTCCCATACAATCCCCAGGAGTACAGGGAAGGTTATTTAGAGGGGGTAAAGCTATGCTGAGATCGAGTTTGCAAAGGAGTTAAGTGAAATTGTAGAGAAGATGAAAAAAAGGGGCAAGAAATCCACAGTCAAACATGGCCACTTCAAAGTTTTTGTCTAAATGATAAAATGATGAGATATTTTAAAGAAGTTTTAAAACAAGTGGTGGTGTAAATATGACTTGTGCACACTATTTGTTGTTGGGTTTTTTTCTGAGCTCATTCTAGATGCATAGATAAGTCATTTGCAAATTACATTTCAGTTTGTAGATATTACAGCTTAGTCCCGTTTTCAGTTTTCATTATTAATAAAGAAGTCTATTAGAAAGAATAAAATTCTATGTTATTAGATGTAGGAAAAAACTACTTTGTTTTTCCAGTTTGTAATTGTTTTATATAAGTATAAAGTTGTTTTCTATTGAATAAAAAATGTTTTGCTGAAAAATATAATTAAGGTTTGTGCACATTCCAATTTATAGCTCTTATCTTCTGTCTTTGGGGAAATATATATACATATATGAACATTTATATATGTATATAGATATAAAATCTCCAAAATGTAATAAAAGGGATGTATCACAAACCATGTTTATCATTGTATCCTAGTTTCAGTAAAGATGATGAATTTAAGGACAAGTTTATATAGTAAATTTAAATAGCTATAAATTAAGACAATACTGTTAATAAATAGCAGGAAATTATTTTTAAATGCAAAATTGCATTGTCCTTATCTAAAGGAATGTTAATTCCACTCAGAACTAAATAGAATCATACTTTGCAGTAAATTCTGGTGTGCATATTTTATAATATTACAATTATGTCACAGTGGAAACATGTTTGTTTCATAATCTTTCATAGTGACAAGTGGATCATGAGTTTTCTATTCAAAATACATCATCCACTTAAATTGCAAAGAAGATAAGCCTTTTTCTATTAGCTTCAATGAACAGTTTTTAAAAATATTTTCATAAATTATGATAAGCAACTTGACAATCATTAGAGTTTGTGCATTTTAGTTTTGATACTTCAAAGAGTAAATAAATTCTAAAACTAAATTTTAGTTCAAAAAATGTATATAAGCCAAAATAAATATGCCTTTCCCTTGTATACTTTATATGCTGATTGGGTAAGGCATATACATATCATTGTAAGGGCACTGTGAGATATTTAACTGGCAGATTTTAGATTAATTTAAGCTGGTTTCAACAAAATATAACCCCCAAAATTTCTTTTTTATTCAAGATGATCAGGATGTCAAAGGTAAAAATATGTATTACAAATGTAAGAAAAAATACACTCACATTTGCACACACACCTCTCAAAATATTTTGAAAGTAAAAGCCAGTTGCAAGGTCAAAGAAATTCATCACAGTGAATAATAAAAGCATTCAAGGCAGTGGAAGTACTAGTCCTTAATTTTTATAATTGTGATAGTCAAGGGATTTATTCTCTTTGGCTACCCTGAATTGTCAAAATAATCTTAAGGAAAAAAGAACAAAGCTGGAGGTATCGTGCTTTCTGACTTCAGACATACTGCAAAGCTACAGTAATCAAATAGCATGGTACTGGCACAAAAAGCAGACACATAGATCAATGGGACAGAATAGAGAGCCCAGAAGTAAACCCATGCATTTATAGTCAATTAACCTACAACAAATGAGGCATGAATACACAATGGAGAAAAGACAGTCTCTTTAATATGCAGTTCTGGGAAACCTGGACAGCTCCATATAAAAGAATGAGATTAAAACATTCTCTAACACTATATACAAAAATAAACTCAAAATGGATTAAAGACTTACATTTAAAACCTGAAAACATAAATCTTCTAGAAGGAAACATAGGCAGAATACTCTTTGACATAAGTCATAGCACTAATTTTTTGGATTCGTCTCCTAAGGCAAAAGAAATATAAACAAGAATAAAACAAATGGGACCTAATTAAACTTAAAAGTTTTTGCACAGTGAAGGAAACCATCAACAAAAAACAAAATGACAACCTACTGACTGAGAGAAAATATTTGCAAATTATGTGACCAATAAAGAGTAATGTCCAAAATATACAAACAGCTCATACAAGTCAATATCAAAGAACCAAACAACCCCATTAAAAATGGATAGATGACCTAAATAGACATTTTTCCAAAGAAGACATACAGATAGCCAACAGGCATATGAAAAGATACTAAATATCATTAATCTCAGAGAAAACTACAATGAGATATCATCTCACACATGTTAGAATGGCAATTGTCAAAAAGACCACAAATGACAAACGTTGGCAAGGTTGTGGAGAAAAGAGAACCCTTGCACCATTGATAGGAATGTAAATTGGTGCAGCCACTATAGAAACTAGTATGGATGTTCCTCAAAAAAATAAAAACAGAAAAACAGAACAACCATATGATCCAACAATTCCACTCCTGGGTATAGGAGGAAATGAAGACACTCATTTGAAAAAATACCTGTACCCCAATGTTCACAGCATTATTTACCATAGCCGAAATACGGAAGCAACCTAAGTGTCCATCATCAAGGGAGTGGATAAAGTTGAGGTATATATACACAATGGAATATTACTCAGCCATAAAAATGAATGAAATTCTGCCATTTGCAACAAAGTGAATGGACCTAGAGAATGTTATGCTTAGTGAAATAAGTCAGGCAGAAAAAGTCAAATATTCATATTATCATGTATATATGGAATCTTAAAAAAAAGCAAGTAAATGAAAAAGTCAAATACTCATATTATCATGTATATATGGAATCTTAAAAAAAAGCAAGTAAATGAAAAAGTCAAATACTCATATTATCATGTATATATGGAATCTAAAAAAAAAGCAAGTAAATGAAAAAGTCAAATACTCATATTATCATGTATATATGGAATCTTAAAAAAAAGCAAGTGAATGTGTATAACAAAACAGGAACAGACTTACAGATATAGAGAGCAAGCATACTCCAATAAAATTTTTTTAAAAATTGAATAGGGAAGATGTGCTTTACAGGAAGATCTTTTGCACGGACAAGATGAAAGGAGTTAGTTAGGGAAAATGAATTTTCAGTAAAGGACGACAACAATAATGATAAAAATCGATTAATGAGGCTAGAAGAAGTAGCATGATAGTGTGGATGTCTTGAAAACTGAAGGAGTAGAAAGTTTCAGAAAGTCAAAAATTTTTAATGTGAAAAGTAATAAGGATGTTAAAAGTAAATATAGACTGCAAAATGTAAATTTGTTATATGACGGAGGATACTGATGTGGACTTTGGCAAGAAGAGACAATGGCCACAAAAAGTAGAGTGTGGGCTAAGACAGTGAGTGGAAAATAGGGAAATGTAGACAGTAGGAGCAGCATTTATCATAGGTTTGTCAGAGGAGTAGAAAGAGAATGGTTTGTCAATGGGAATTTGAGTGAAGAAGTTCTTTATAATTTTATTTTTGTTGTTACTTTTATTTATTGATTGATTTTTACAGGATGATTGAGACATAAATAGGTTTATAACATGAGATGCAAAAATTATTCAAATTAAAGAAAAAAAGTAGTAGGGGATAGCATATATGATTATATTTTCCTTTGTTTTTTACCCCAAATGGTATCTGGTTTGGGTAGTATAAAAATTGAAGTCTCGTCGCACACCAACTGACTTTGAAAGAGACAAGTCAAAGGTGTGAGGGAGATGGTGAGGAAGACAATTTAAGACCGAAAACTTCAGATGGTGCCATCAAGAAGAATTCACTGGTGAAAAAGCCAATCCAAAGATAGGGGAACCATCTAGAAAGCAGTAACTTCCACCCAAAGAGGAATTAATATAGGTTTAGAATATGAATGGAGCAGAAGGAATGGGAGAAGAGAGTAAATCCAAATGAAAAATAATTGGTGACATATGAATAATATGAACTTCTAAGCATCTCTGTGCTCTCCAGTCGTACAGAAGCAGTGAACCTCCCTGAGGGTAAGAAGCTGGTCACTGGTCCCACTGCACCTGGAAGTGTCTGGGTCTTATGGTCCCCTTAGATGCTAGGTTTTCATCTCTCTGAGCTACTGGTGTTGAGTCTGCTTTCAAATTTGTCTACCACTCATCTGTTGAATCTCCAATTTCTCCATTAGTCCAGCAATGACAGTTTTACTCTGTGTTAAGTTCTGATCTTGCAAGTCTTGTAGACTTCCCTAGTCCAGATTCTGGATTTGAATTTGCTCTCCATTCTCTGACATGCCCTAGGAGACAAGTCTATTTGACCACAAAATTCAAATATTTTTTGTATATACTTAAAAATACACATATTCCACACTAATACATACCATTCACTTAATGCCAGGTTTACTACATACCACTCAGCAGTGGTTTCACTGTGAATTCTCACTGAAAACACGATAGTTGAATCTTTTAAAAGGTATGACTGTTTTTTCCATATATTTAACTAACTTATTTATTTGAACTTGCTAAATGAATATGACTCTGCAAGTTAACATTTAACAGTAAAACCAGTACCACCACATCCTAGTCAGCTTGGGTTGCTGTAACAAAATGCTGTAGCCTGAGTGGCTTAAACAAGGCATATATTTCTCACACTTCTGGAGGCTGGGAAGTCCAAGATGAAAATGCTGGCAGATCTGATGTCTGGTGAGGGCCCTTTTCCTTGTTTCCAGATGGCATTGTTCTTACTGTATCTTCATATGGCAGAGAGAGAGAGAGCGAGCGAGCTCTGGTCTCTTGATATAAGAGCACTCATCTGGTCATAAGGACTCTACCCTCATGGCCTAATTACCTCCCAAAGGCTTCATCTCCAAATACTATCTATCACATTGGGGATTAGTGCTTCAAAATGAATTTTGGGAGCACACAGTCCATTCCATAACATTTCCTTTGAAAGCGTGGTTATCTATAAATTTGTTTGATGAGTAATAGAAGTTCTAAAATACTTAGAACTTTGTGGTATTGAGTGCATCTCTAGGAATCTTGAGAATGCTACAGGGGAAAAATATTTTCTTGTATTTACTCTCAGCTGCTGCTTTAAAAAAATGTTTTGTAGATATTTTCACTTAAGATTTAATTCTAAATGCTTTACGATTTCTCTCATTCTCTTCTTGCAACACAGAAATTGGGCCCTTGAATATACGTATTTCCTTCAGGAAATGGTGATTCTTTTTGAAGAGCATTAGGAAAAGGGGTTACAGAGATGTAACTACAGAGGTAGACATATTAAACCTTTTCACTCTTGATAGTCTTAAAAAATGCATGTTTTTCTTTCTAAATAAACTACTGAGCATAATACAAAAATATTCTCGTCTATAAACTCTCATACTACATAAATACATGAGAGGAATGGAATAATGTGGAGTCCAGAATCGATGCTGAATTTAGCAGAAAACATGACAGTGACTTGTGAGTCTGAATGCTGGGTGAAAGCCTAGATGATAATGATAGTGACCTTTTGGACTCCTCCATTTAGAACTTGTCAGAAATACTGGATTCTATTGAGTTTAACTCATGCCAACTCAATAGGAATACATTCAAATCTACAGTTTTTCAGAGTCAATTTTGGCTCAGTCTGGGTGTCTGTTAGAGGGTTAGCCCATTAGCTCAAGTTGATAAAGGTTCTGGAACTCCTTAAACACAGTGGGATTTATGTTGTTGCATCCATAAAAGGAGAACAATATTTTTGGTTAATTCAAAACAGTTTCAAAAACTCAAAATAGTCTTCTCCACCATAAAAAGAATATTGCCAATCCTGAAATATTTTGAAAATTCTGCAAGCATAACAGGCATTCAGAAAATAGAAACCAAGCCTTTCTGTTTAATAACAATGTTATGATTATAGAACATATGAAAATGACCATAAAGTCACTAAAACTATTTTCATATACTTGTGTATAATCGAAATTTAATCACTAGTTCATTTTACATACTCATTATGTAAGCCACAGTTACATTATTGTTACTCAAACAACAAAGAAACATAGATTTCAATTAGTGACTACTGGAATTAATAGGAAAATAACTATCTGAAATCATTCAGATTTTTAAAACCATGCAATTATATATTTTTAAATTTTTTAAGGGAGAGGTAATTAAGTTTGTTTGTTTGTTTGTTTGTTTATTAATGGAGGTACTGGGGATTGAACCCAGGACCTCATGCATGCTAAGAACACGCTCTACCACTGAGCTATACCCTCTTCCCAATGCAATTATTTTTAGAGTAACACCTGTATTGCAATCTTTCTGTGGTATTTATTTATATAAACATGAAACTGAATTAAGATTAACAGGTAGTTAATTTCACTCATCATTCTCCAATCATTTAACACATTTATTATAGTTAACAGTATGCCAAAGACTTTGAGATACTAAGACAGATACTATGTTCCCCATCAAGTTTATATTTTAATGGAGACAGGAAGAGAGAATCACAAGGTAATTAAATATGATGAACAGAAGTAAATGATTTGAATGCTAAGAGAAAGGGATGTAGATGAGGCATGGGAAGTAAGCAATGGCCAGATCATAAGGGCTATATATTGCTAAACTTAAGATCTTGCTCTTTAACTAAATTTATTGGCACATCTTCGAAGATTTCCAACGGGAAAAGTGACATCCTCATATTTGTATTTTGTAAAGAAAACTCTAGTTGCAGGGTACAGGAGGGCAAATCTAGAGAGATGGAAATAATTTAGGAAGTTTTTAAATAACCCAGGTGAAAGATGAAGATTTTCTGAATTAGGGAATTTGCAATTTAAGAACTTTTACTGAGGGAGATTGATAGAATGTAGGTACTAACTGAATATGGAGGGTGAGGGAACAGAGTAAGACTGGAATTACCCTGATGAAAGGCTACTTTGAAGCTCAATGTATTTTAGTCCCTGCAGAGAATTCAAGTGAGATATGGCAGGTGGGAGATACAGTTTTGGGCATCTGCAGAATGACTGGG